TACCCACGAAAGCTTATGCTCCCAATACTTCTGTTAGTCTTAAAGGTGCCACAGGACCCTCTGTTGCTTTTAACTGAAAAGTTGTATTGGCAGAGCGACCTCTCGGGTATGAAAAATCCATACCCCAAGAGACATAGTTAAGTCGACCTAATCCCCGACAGTGCAAGGTCGATGGAAGATTGGTCTCCTATCGCCCACCTGGTGCCCTGACCGCTGGCCTACAGAGCCACTCTCTCTCTCTCTGGCCCAATGACTATGTAAGTATTTATCCACAGTGGGATGGTCATTGGGCCAGAGAGAGAGAATGGCTCTGTAGGCCAGCAATAAGGGCGTCCACCTGGGAGGAGGGAGACCCAGCATCCAGTCCCCTGCCTCCAATTGCTCCATTATTTATCCAGAGTGGAACAGCTTCAGCAGGAGAGGTTGAGGAAGCCCCCTACCAGCCTATCCCATAGCTCAGTGGCTAGAGCACTTTCTGGAGAGGTAGGATTTGCGGGATCTCCCTTCTCACATTCCAGGCGAGTGCTCTAACCACTGGGCTAAGAGCAGGCACCACCCCCTCCACCAGGGTGTTGAACGAGACCTGATCCACTAGCAGGTGGCCTTTCACCTGTCTTCCCCCAGTTTGTGAATCACTCTGGGACCCCGGTGGGAGATGGGCATCTGGATTCCTAGAGGGAGGCAGCAGCGTGCATGCCCACGGGACAGAAACATAAGCACCAAGGTAGCTTTTACCTGGACAACTTAGGTCTGAGCGAGTTCAGGGGCCTACAGGTTCTGAGTTTTGTGGATTGCAGTGATGCCAAAACAGGGACTTAGGTGCCTAAACACCCGACAGAGGTGCTAACTGTGTGTGGATCTGGGCTATAATGACCAGAAAACAATCAGTTCAATTCACCAACTACAGCCAATGCTTCCTTTGTTAAATAAATCAGTTGGTTTTGATAAACTTATTTTTTTTCTTATGTATTCGGCACATTTGAGTAAAAAATTAAGGTAGTAAATAAGAAATGCATCATTTGCCGTTTTCTAAGAGTAAAAAAAAGGAAAAATTAAGAATCTGAATAAATATATGTTAAGCTAATAGACACTACAGCTTCCTGGTTAGGAAAAAGAAGCACCAAATGTAGTGAAAAGGCTGTATTGAGTCACAAACCAACATGTAGGGATAGCTCAGTGGTTTGAGCATTGGCCTGCTAAACCCAGGGTTGTGAGTTCAATCCTTGAGGGAGCCATTTAGCAATCTGGGGTAAAAATCTGTCTGGGCATAAGTCCTGCTTTGAGCAGGAGGTTGGACTAGATGACCTCCTGAGGTCCCTTCCAACCCTGATATTCTATGAAGTTATCAACTAATGAAAATCAGGTTTTTTAAAGGAAAATAACTAAAAAGTACAAATGCAAAGATTAAAATGGCTGATTAAATCAGGGGTGAAAGGCAGTGATTTAAAAGCACTTGGCAATTAGGGTGACCAGATAGCAAGTGTGAAAAATCGGGACGGGGGTGGGGGGGTAATAGGAGCCCATATAAAAAAAAGCCCAAATATCAGGACTGTCCCTATAAAATCGGGACATCTGGTCACCCTATTGGCAATCCACATTGGGGCTAGTGCTTCTCTGCCAGCTGCTTGGGGGCAGCCTGCAGTGTTGCCGTAGCTGTGTGGGTCCCAGGATATTTGAGACAAGGTGGGTGAGTGTTGCATTTACAGCATAGTGGGTGAAGGCGCTGCTGCCACCTAGTGGCAGAGGTTGAGAAGTGTAAGTTCTCAGTGCATTTTCACAAAGTTTGGTAACCCTAACGCAGCGCATTTAGGACCTGGTTTTTCACAGGCAAGGAGGGTGTTTCAGACTGTGGGAGAGCAGCTGGGGGGGCAGGGAGAAACACAGACGCGGGTACAAGCGCTAGGACCAGCGCTGGCCCTGGGAACTGCAAGAACCTGAGTCACAGACACCTAGAGTACATTTGGGGGAGAAGAGAATTTGGCTGTTCAAAAACTGCTGAGCAGAGACCTAACAGAGGTTGGGATGAGGCTTACGGTACCAAAACAGGTACCTAGAGGCTAGAGCATTGGGCGGACTCCAGAAATACGGGGGCACCTGTTGGGTGACCTGGAACACGTCACATCCCCTCTCTGTGCTTCAGTTTCCCCATCTGTATAATGGGGATAACGAAACTGACCTTTGTAAAGCGCTTTGAGATCTACTGATGAAAAGAGGTAGGCATTATTACGGAACGTGGAGCAGCGGGCAGCTTAGCGCGTGAGGAGGTGGTTAGAAATGAATTGCCGGGGCCGCTAAGGTCACCAAATGCGGTGAGGAGGAAGGATCCTTGCATCCAGTTGTGCTTTTCACTTACTTTGAATTCACCTAGCGTCAGTCTCCAGGAACATACAGATTTCAGAATCCTCATGTCCTCAGGGATATTCGCCCCATGCAATCAGTGGGCAGGGCGGAACCTGTTTCCAGGCAGAATGAATGGCTCAGGGGACTGTGCAATCCCATAGCATTCAGCAAGAGGCCTCACTGTCACATTTGAGGGTGGCCTCAGGCTGTCTTGCTTTGGTCTCTGCCTCCTTGTCCAGGTTTTTGCCTCCTCTGCACATGCAGTTGGGCACAGAATCAGCGAGCTGCAGCAGATGAACTGGAGGGCTGGGTACTGAAGTACTAAGATGGTTTCACTCCAATTCCTTGCAGGTCGTATCTTTGCCAACACCGCGGATTCAGCCTGCCTCCTGGGCATGCGCAGACGGAGTCTCGTCTTCCAGCCACTCGCCGAACTCGAAGAACAGACAGATTTTGAGTAGGTTTTCCAAATATTCTCCCCCTTTCCTGTGCATCTACCACACTGGTGGTGAATTGATAAGCAAGGGAGGATATGAAAACAACATTTGAAAGGGTTAGGAAGCAAGGAGGGAGGTTGTAGAAGGCTGGTCTCTAATTAGGACACAGGAATATCATAGGCTGAACATCAGGTAAGTCTTCCAACTGGGGAGCGCTCTCAGCGTGCAGAATAGCATCCCAAGAGAAGTGGTGGAAGCCCTGCTGCTCAACTCATTTAAGAAACCGACGGGAGAAGACAGAGTAAGGGTACAGAGCAGTTGTGCCGTAAAGACCACGATCAGCGTGAAGAAGGGCTTTTGAATCCAGCAGACAAAGGAGTAACAAGCCCCAGGACTTGGAAGTTGAAGCTAGATAAAAATCACATGGCTGGAAATAAAAAACGTGTGCCTTAAACCAGAGTAATTAAACAATGGGAACAGCCTCCCAAGGGACACAGCGGATCCTCTCTCACGTGGAGTCTTTAAAATCCAGGACTGGGGATCTTCCTAAACGTGATGCTCTAACTCAACCAGAAACGACAGGCTCACAGAAGGAATCACCTGTGAGAGGTCCCATCTGACCTTGAAATCTATTAATAAAATCAACGCTTGCCTGCCTGCTCCCAGAGTTATTTCCTGTGGGAGCAGTAGCTCACCCAGCCCCTGGGTGGGGATCATTGCTTTGACCTTCCTGGTAACTCCTCTAAATCTTTTCTAAAGTATATTAGCACATGAACGAGCAGCAGCCTGCGTATGCCTGTGTGATACAGAGGCGAGGATTAAAAAGTCGCTGCTGATCACAATTCTTTTCTTTTCTCTGTAGGTTCCCCTACCATGCTCAGAGTATCTGAGCACCTTCCAGTAACGCATCAAGCGACATGCCTAATGTGTGTCCCATGTTCGGGAGTGGTTTTCACACTATACATTCCTTTCTCCCCAACAGGCACCGCCTCCCCAAACAACAGTGGTGGCTAAAACTTCGTCCAATCTTAAAGATTCTGGCCAAATACAAGGCCGACTTGGATACCTCCGAGAAAGCCCACCTGGAACACATCACGCACAAGGTGGTGCCTGTGGAAGCCAACATCTGAACCGCTGGCGAGGCAACACCGCTGGAAGAAGAGCAGATCTGGCTCTGAAAATAGCTTTTGGCATCAGGGACCTCTGAAATAAAGTTCTCACTGTTTTAGCTCACGTCCCCAGGTCAGCATGCAGCAGTCTAGCATTTATACAGTAGTTGGGGCTGCAGTCAGCCACGTGTGTGTATGAAAACAAGACACACCACTTACAGGACGGCAATGCAATATCCTGGTATATATAACTGCCTAATTTACTGGTTAAAAAACAGTTTTGAAATGCACTTTCTGGGGCTGATTTAGCTTCCACAGGATAGTTTAAATGGATGCATCGATCAGGCTTCTTTTACATCCAAGTTAATTATTTTTAAATGTTAGAGTCTAATTTATGTAACGGTTTTCAAAGAAACCCTCCGTGTTTCTGAACTGGCTCGTGTTATGGAGGAAGTGCCAACGAAATGAGAATAAACGCTATGGGTAGAATTACTAGAGCACCTCTCTGGTTTTAACTTCTCCAGACACTTGAATGAACAGGAATCGTTTGACCAGGGAGTTGCCTGCATCAACCTGTCTGAATCCTGTTACTAATTTATAGTACGGTAGCACCTAGGAGCCCCAGTCACGGATCGGACTTCACTGTGTTAGGTGCTGTACAAACACACAACAAAACGACAGTCCCTTCCCCAAAGAGCTTATAAGGGTCTGTCTACACTGCAATCAGTCAGAGGTGTGGATTGCAGCCCATGTAGGCATCCCCGAGACGCTTGCTAAAGCAGCAGCATAGCCATGGCGGGGATATGAGCTCGCTACTGGAGTATGTACGCAGGGTCTGGGTGGGATTCTACTTCAGCATCCTGCTTTTCTAGCAAGCTACTTCAATCAAACCCATGCCCGAATACTTAACCGATCAATGCACTATGAATGCCACTGTTCGAACACACTCTAGGCACCATCTGTTCACGTCCAGCTAGCTGGATGCTTCACATAGCACTGTAGCTGAGCACCTCACGTTCTCTAGTGGAATTTATCCTCAACACCCTTCTGCAGCACAGAACTATGAGCCCCCTAGCTGGGGAAACAGAGGCCCAGGGTCGACTAGGTCACCCACTCGCAGAGGTGAGAATGCAACCCAGCTCTCCAGAAGCCTAGTCTACACTAATAAAGGATTACCTGTATAGCTGTCCTGGCAAACCTTCCTTGTGCAGATGCATCTCATACTGGCTGGCGCTGGGCTAGCTTATACCAGCTCCTCGAGTGACATAAACTATGCCAGCAAAAGCACTTTTAAGCTGTTATCACTGCATCTACATTAGGGCTTTTGCCGGTATAGAAAGGTCACCAAAAGAGAGTCACTCCCCTAACCAACATTGCTATGCTGGCAAAAGTATCTAATGGAGACCTGGCGTGAGTTCTAGTCCCCTAGCCTATAATGCCCCCCAACCATGATCCCTCCCCCTCCAGGATGACAATTCCATATCACAACACGCAGCAGCCGGTAGTTCCCAGGAGCTGAGGCCAGAGCCAAAGAATGTTACAGATACCATCTCTACCAGCTTTGTCACATGAATTCAAGCCCTTTATCCCCTCCATGGGCAGTGGAGGCTCACATGAGCACTGCTGCTAATACCTTCATTTGAAAGGTCACACTGCAGGGGAGGTGCTAACGGGTCAGATACCTGGACAAATGTAGGGTGACCAGACAGCAAGTGTGAAAAATCAGGACAGGGGGTGGGGGGGGGGGGCGTAATAGGAGCCTATGTAAGGAAAAAAACCCAAAATCAGGACTGTCCCTATAAAATCAGGACATCTGGTCACCCTAGACAAATGCCAACAGTTGCGCTAAACAAGCCCTCCTCAGGAAGAGAATCCTGGTCTCTGGAGGGGCCGGAGGATCGAAATTCAGGCTGAAGAGACGGTGGAAATTTCTCCCCCCTGCTCAAATTTTACAAGAATTTCAAAACAAAAAATTTTGAATTTTTTTTTCCCAGGGTGAACTAGGGTCTGTTTCTTAAAATAAGTTTTTCTAGAAGAGAGTAAACAAAACAAAAACTCCCCTCCAGAAAAAGATGTCTGTCAGCTTTTTCCTCACTCACTTTAGTTTTGTTTTGGACAAGTGGAATATTTCCCACCAAAACAACAAATTGGGGTTCCTCTCCCCAAAAAAGATTTTCCCAAAACACACTTACCCTTTTTCAACCAGCTCCGAGGTTGGCTTCTCCTGGCACTAGCTAAGCTGATGGCCCTCATGGCTCTTCTGACCAGTAGCTAAATACCCTGTGACATACTGAGAACCATCAGGTCCCATCATCCAAAGGGCAAAGGCTAGCTTCCCCTCCATTTTCAGCTGCTTCCCAAATAGGGCTAAACTCTGGGAGGTTCTCAGAACATTGCTGGTCTACCGTCCAGCTTCATATTCGCAAGGAGACCGGCGTAACGAGAAGGGTCTTGTAGCACATCTCTTTAGCACTGAACTAATTCTAGTCTGATCCTGGGCGCATCAGCGGCAGCCACACCGCTGAACGCAGCTGGTTAAGGAATGGAGTAGAGACACCAGAAGAGAGCAGTTTCCGGAGATGGGGAGGGATCCTGGAGCAAGTGGTTTAAGGATGGTAGATACAAGAGCGGGCTTGTTTGAAGAGAACAGCTGGAGGAGGTATAATGTAGACTGGGGACCTCAGAGTCACCGAGAAGGGGAAAGAAGGATTAAAGCACAAATATCAATGAGACCAAGTGAACATCACTGGAATGGCCGGAGAGAAAGCAACAAGGAGACACTGAGTTATTCCTTAAAGGACTGGCTGGGATCTGGACAGTCACTCATTCTCCTAAGCATCCCCATGTGCCGAGCCATCTTTCTGCAGCTCGCTAACAGTAAGGCTCAGAAAGCTTTCGCAGGCAGCCTGCTCTTCGCTGTGTTTCTCCATGAGAACTCCTCGGAGAGCAGTCATTTTAGAGCTGATCTCGCTCTCCTAGAAATGCGGCGCTCGTTGCCAGAACAGCAAAAGGATTTGTGAAGAGACTCAGGGCACGTCTACACTACACAACGAAGTCGATATACAGCCACCGCAGTAGTTCATTCGATTTTTAAGGTCCACACTAGCTCCTTCGGTCAGTGGTGTGCGTCCTCACCAGGAGCACACGCACGGATTTAACTGACTCTCCTCTCCCACCCCAATCCCTCACCAGGAGGTAGCCCAGGCTTGGGCTCCCCTCTCCCCCCACCCGCCTCCATCCCTCACCGGGCAGCAGGCCAGGCTCAGAATCTCCTTCCCTCAGTGGGTGGCAGGGCTCCAGCTGTCAACCCCATGGGGCAACAGGCAATGTAAGCAATGCAGCGCCTACACTTTCACTGCGTCAACCTAACTACACGGATTTAAGCGCTACGCTTCTCGTGGAGGTGGAGTTATTAGGTCGGTGTAGTGGGCGCGTTACATTGGCGGGAGCAACATTTTAGTGTAGACACTTACCGTTAGGTCCATGTATGGCACTACTCTGTAGCGTAGACCAGGCCTGAGTAACAAAGCCAATTTAATAGGGAGAGAATCCCAAAGTACCCAGACAGCATCAGTGAAAAGATAGCTAGCACAGAAGGAGCTGCTTAGAGCTGGTCTTGAGTGGTTTATTTTTGTAACTATAAAATACAGAGAGCAACAAGACAAATCACTACAGAAACCAGAAAGGGGGGGGGGGGAGTGTTTCATGGTTCCCGGCAGAGTTTTATATACAGAAGCCCTTTCCAACAGCCCCTTTTCCTATTTTGGAACATTCTCCCTATTGGATGTTGTCACTCTGTGTTTCAGGGAACGCCCCCATTGAAAACAGAGTCTTGTTAAAAACTGGGCACTGCCTGAGGAATTGCTGATCAGTTCTCCCTCCTGGAAGTGCTGCGAGCTCTCACACGCTGCCCTCAAAAAAATCAGTGAAATGGCGTAAAACCAAGTGCCAGACTTTAACCAAAACACCTTCAAACGTGTTAGTGAGAGTGAATATGTCACAGAAATCAAGTGCCTAGGATTACAAGCTGGGAACCCCTCCCATCGCTCCAGAGTACATTCACACCAGGCAGGACTGGAGATCAGTAGGGCAGGGCACCACCACCACTGGGAGATGCGAAAAGCATGTTCTCAGCAGGGTGATCTCCTGAAGCAGAGAAAAGCCCTCACCACGGAGCAGACTCGCGCTGCACTTTGGCGTCTAGTTCTTTCACCAGAGGACTTGAACCATTTGAAGTGCAGGATTTTTAGAGGGGCTGTTCATTAGGACAGAGTGTGGTTGTTGCTGATTGTATTTTCGAGAGGGCGCATCCTTTATATTGTAAGAATCCCATAACTCTCCCCACTTTAATACCTCCCCCTCCCCAGCTCTACAATCACACCCACACAGCACTGCTTAATAGCCACCGTTACTGCAGTCGTGGGCAAGGACAGCTCCACTGGCGCCTTTCTGAAATCAGCCAGAGACGATGCAGTTCAGTGCTCCGGAAAGTGCTGCTAGATCCCAGCCGCAGTGTTGGCCGATACTCTTTCCTTACCGATTCCACCGCAGTAGTGAGCCGGGAGACCTCTCTTACTGGTGCTACGGGAGCACCAAGGAGTCACACGCCCACCCCACCCTGCTCTCGGAAAACGTCTGCGTTGTTAGGAACACGTTTCAAATATCTCCTTCCCCCACAATTAAGAGCTGATGCATCTTAGAAATAATAAGTGGGGGGAGGGAAATCTCCCAGTGCATGTTGTGAAGGAAAAACCGGTGTCTCTCCAGACAGGGCTTACCTTCCCTACAGTTCTCCATCTCTGCTCATGACTCGGTTCATGACTCCCTCCATCCAGAGAGCTGGGTGCTGTGCTTTAGGCTTGGGGAGGTGCAGTGCGCAAAGCATTGATTAGAGATACAAACACTCTGTAGGAAGGAGCTCTCCTTCCAAGGTCTATGAAAAAATACAAAACTGAATACGTGTGCTTGGGGTGGGAGCTACCACTAAAACTAACAAGTCTGCAAGCGGGAGTCCTGCTTTCTGCCTGGTTGACTCCGTCGAGACAGCACAGAAGCTGACTGGCACCAGCTCACTTCCTCCAAGAGGCAAGAGCAACCATGTGGGATTTTCCCATGCTCCAAGACTCCCTCTCGTACTTAATTCCTTCCAACAGGAATAGATCCCCCTTACCTGCTCTCCACACCTAATTGAGAAGGCATCTAGCCCACCTAGTCTCCAGAAAGCAGGATGATAATTTGTCTCTCTGTGGCAGGGAAGGTGACGGATTCTGTTCAGCAATGTCTTGTGAGACGGCTGGTGGCTTGGTACTGAACTCGGAGAGAAATCCAGAGGCTGGAGATGGGGATCAGGTCCGTGCAGGAAGAAACAGCACAAGTATTTCCCCACACACACCTTTTAAGCCATCAGTAGTGCCAGCTGCCACCATGGAGGTCACCGTCCTGTATGGTGCTCTGGGTGAGACAGGAGAGGGAGCCCTAGAACCTGGAGTAAT